GAACGCAGGGGATTTCCAGAAAGATGGATAAACACGGGAGCGATCCACAGCAGCCAAGGGGATATCATCAAACTTCCCTTCCACAACCTCTCTGTGCCAAAGAGAAGCCGTTTGTCGCAGTAGCCGTAAGTATTCCTCAAAGCCCTGGAAGGTGTGAAAAGCAGCACATAGGTGAGCTGCAGTAGCATGGGCAGCCCACGATGGAATCTGAGGACCACCCCAGGCCGGGAGCTCCAGGATCGATTCGTTCGAAAAGAGGCCAAGGGGAGCACGGAGAACTTGGGCGATGGCACCACGCTCAATGGGAAGGAACCATTCGGGCATAGGGAGGAATTGGGCTACATACGCCAAACAGGGGTAGACCCGCGTGCGGTACAAGATACAATTCGTACAGACTGACGCAACCCCACGTCCCAACATCCGAGAGCGAGATCGTGCCTTCATAAGCGGGCCCCTCCAGTTCATGTCGACCGTCGCATCAGGGCCCAAGATCATCCCAAGATAAAGCAACCACCCCTCAACAGCAAAGCCTGACCAGTCACTCGCGATAGAGGCCAGCTGGGTCTGGGTCATGGTTTTCAGGGTTTCTGTCATGCGGCCGACGAGAGGGACCAGGGTGCACTTGCTGATCTTAATCTTGAGGCCCGCAATCTTTTCCATGACACCGAGGACCCGCACCAGGATGCGCAGAGAGGCTAGCTCATACAGGACAGCGCCTAGATCATCGGCACAGGCACGGCATATCCCCAACTGACGTTGCTCAATACTCCGCTCGAGGTCGGCCAACATGGGGGAGGAGGCGAGAGCGTACAAAGACCCCGAGAGACCACAGCCTTGGATGATGCCCGAGCGGATCCAGAAGATGGTCGAGTAGCATCCCCCATCCAGGACCACACCTTCAACAGCCAAATACATCCAGCCCACAAAAGCGAGAATCTCGGCGGGGAGCCCAAGAGAGCCCAATAGCTGTAGCAGGAAGGACTGCGACAAGCTCGGGAAGGCCTGCCCGTAGTCGAACCCGACGAGGACAGGGGAACGACGCACAGCTAGGGGATGTTGCGATGCAAGCCGAGCATGGACATCCAGCTCAAGCACGTTGTAGCAAAAATTTCGTCCTCTAATGAAGCCTCTCTGGGAAGCAGGTGCAACGGCTTGGACGACAGGCTCGAGGACCCTGTTCATGACCGAGCTCAGGATCTTAACGTCGGTGTTACGCAGCCCCAGGACCCGTATCTTATCGGGAGACCGAGAACAAACCCCAGACGGCAGATCTGAGTCATCAGCACCTTTGGGGAGGAACGCCTGGAGGGTGACGCTGGCAGAGGCAAACAACGACTGACCTTGGCATAGCCATCCGAACATTCTGGCCAGGTGCTGGGCGCCGTAGTCGCACGCCGACCAGGCCGCATAAGGCAGCCCGTCGACACCAGGAGCAGAGTGACGAGCACGCCTGAGAACCTTACGAAACATTGGGGTCAGAGGACAGTGCAGGTCGATGTCAGAGGCCTTGGTGAGGAACCTATCGAGGCACATCTGGGTCATGACAGGGTGGGGCTCTTTCTTGGAGAAGACAGGGGTCCAGTAGGCCGCCAGGGCCGCAGTGCGTTCCCGAACCTCTGAGATGGGGCCCTCAGGAGTATTGACCGCGGACAGTATCAGGCGCTTCGAAAACGGGGCCCATATGGAGGCCTTCCTTTCCATAGCTCGCAAGAGCGTGGCCGAATGAGGCCGCCAGGCAGATGAGGAGCCTGAAGGAGCACGATCAGCAGCAGCAGCGGCAAGCTCTTTTTCGAAGACCAGCCGATGTACTCCAGCGGCCCACTGCTCGAAGGACGGGGCGTGGCGCAGCGAGACGACCTGGCCGTCAACCGTCAGGGCGTCGGCGGCGTGCTGGGAGGTCTCGATGAGCTTGAGGGCAAGGGCAGCGTCTTGACGCCATACCGCTCGTGCTATCCCACGAGCAACCAGCTGAAGCGTCCCAGGCAGGTCAGGGGCCGAGAAGAAGAGGATGTCGCGGGCCTCCCTGGCGGCCTCCTTCATCATGTACTTGTAGTGCTCTGTAGCCACCGGTGGGCTCCATCGGAGCAGATCCTCATCACCATCAGCAACCATTCCTCGGAGTCGGCGCTGGAAAGCAACAGAGGTGAAGATGTGCTTGGGAATGGGCCGCTCAGCAGCGGGACGCACACCCCGAAGACGCAGCCGAATCGAGAGAGCGGCATGATCCGAGATGCCCATGGAGCACAGGTGCTCAGGCGTGTCCACGGTGTTAACCTCAGTCATGAGCTGACACATCATCCAGCCTGTGGCAGAACAGAAGAAGCGGTCGATGATGTTGATGGAATTGGTGAACTTGCAGAAATGGGTCGCCGCTTCCGAGTTAATCTCCATCATCTTGCCAAGTGTAGCCGCCCAGATTGGAGCATGTACTTTATGATCATGAGTCAACTGGCGCTGTACTCCAGTAGGTCGGTGAAAGATGAGAGAAGAATCGTAACTGTAGTTGAGATCCCCCAAGACAACCACAAAGTACGAGAGTGGGTCATCAGCAGCGCGACGCAGAGCACAATCGATCTGCTCACAGACAGATTGTACCTCCCCCTTGGTCAAGCCGTGATTGTGAACGTTGAAGATCACCAGCTGTGTCTGCCCAAGTGCTACATCAACACGAAGCACCCTGCCTCTGATCAGAGGCACCGCACAGCTACTGACCGAAGTGGATGAGAAAGGAGGAAGAATGACTGCAACTCCCCCAGAGCCGCGGACAACCTCGCCGTCGTCATCTTCACAAAAGCTACAGTGGACAATGGCCGTGGAAGAAAGCCTGGCCACAAAGTCGTTCAGCTCAAATCGATCTGCATGCACTTCTTGGAGAGCCAAGATGGATCGCCCAGGTTGAAGTTTGCTTAGGTAAGATAGCTTAGGCGAGGCTTTCGCCCCACCAAATTGGAGAAGAGCGCGTGCATTCCAAGTCATGAATGTGAGGCTGGCTGTGATCTCTCCGCCGACCTGCCCCACTGGAAGCACAAACATATCAGTGATGGCGTCAAAGACACCACTGGGTGGCCGACGGCGCGGCGGTGATGTTCCGAATGGCCTCCTGAAGGTCACGACGGTCCAGGCCGATGGCGCGGATCCCCACGTCGTTCCAAGAGAGCTCAGGGGGTTCATCGCCTGGCCGGGGAACAAGCCGCAGGATGTCGGTGTAGTCAGACTTGAGAACACTCCGCTCCCGATCAACAAACCACTTTCTCTGACTGTCGAGCTCCATGAGGGAAGAACGGACCTTACGAAGTAGCATCTCACCACGAACCTGTTTCGGCGACTTGTCAGGACCAAAGTGAAGACGGGCTGGGTCCGCACCTTGAGCTGGGCACTGGAAGACCCGCCATGCTCCGTCCGACTTGAGGTTAGCGAGGGCCTTTTGTACACGTCGGGAAGCCAGGCCGATCGGCCCAGAGAAGCACACGGCAAACTTTTTGGCGGGGAGCGGCGTGAGGGCTTTGATCGTGTACGTGTCGTCCTCAGAGAAGTTGAGCTCGCCCATGAAGGAGTTGACCACCTCACGGACGCCAGCCAGACCGACGAGCTTGGACGAGACCACAATGACCTGCGTCGGGTCGATCTCGCGGTCGAAACCAGGTGGGGCAGGGGGACGCGACGGGAGTTGTCGGTCCAGCTCACTCTGGCGGCGTAGCTCCTCGACCTGCTTCTGCAGCTCAGCCAGCTTGGCAGCCTGGGCCTCGATGTCCCGCTCAGTGTAGTCGACACGACGGGATAGGGCGTCATGCTGCTCCTGAAACTGGCGCTGCATGGTATCAAACTGCGGACGCACCGATGCCATGACCTGCTGATCAATGGAGGTGTGCTGCGAGGAAAGCTGCTTCTGAAGAGTGGCGAGCGTGGCAACGATGGGAGCGTTTGACTGCTGTACAGAATTGGTGATGGCCGTAGTAACGATATTGTCGAACTCATTGCGCAGCTGCATGAACCTCGCGGAGATGTCGGCATGGTAGAAGGCCCGAGTGAAGGCAGCATGCTCCTCCTCTTCGCCACAATCAGCAGCACCACCAGCAGCAGCCTGAGCCCGCGGGGTGGCGCCCGCACCCGCCGCCGCTGCCCAGGGGTCGAAAAGCCTAGCAGCAGGGCCCTGCGGGGTGGCGTTCGGGTCGGGTCGCGCCTCCTGCGACGGGAAGGTAGCGGCCATCTCGAGCTCTGCAGCCACCTGTGCACGCTTGGAATCGTCCCATTCATCCAAGGGAATAGCTTGAGCACCGCGAGAAGCTCCCAAAGCCGCAGGGTCGGGGCCCCGATGCGAGGCTGCAACACCAGGAGACATAGGGACGTCCCCGCCAGCGCCACGAGCGCGGCCAGCACGGCGAGCACGGCGAGAGGGCTCAGGAGCAGGGCCAGCATTGCCGTGGGGGGGAGGCCGAGCGCGAGCTGCACGACGAGCACCACGGCTGCCACCGCTCCGAGAGGCAGAGCGGCGGGGTTCCTCAGAGGAATCACGGCCACCAGAGGAAGCAATATCCGTATCAATATCTTCACCCCCATCGAGACGATGCACGACATGGTGTGGGCGGTCGCAGGCGGCAGGGCCCATGGCGGCTCAGCTCGCGTCGTTGTAGCCAAAACTGGGAGCGTGCTGTGGCGCACGGCAGGAAGGAGAGAGGCGTCCTGGCCTCGGAAGGTTCGGGCCTCCCTGTCGCCTGCGACAAGGCTGAAGCCCCAGGGCAGGTTTCAACCTTGAGCCAAAATGGCTACGGCCGCGGAGGGGAAGAGGAGGAGGAGGATGAGGCGGACGGAGGAGAAGGATGACAAGGCAGAGGAGGAACATGAGAAGGGGGAGCATGTGGAGGAACAGGACAACGAGAGAACGGGAGGGCGAGGAGGAGGGAGAAGGTGGATGTGGTGGGGGAGGTGGAAGAGAATGAGCAGGCAGAGGGGGAAGGGGAAAGGAGGGATGAAAGAAAGGAAGAGGAAGAGGAGCAGGAGGAGGGGCGTTCAGCTTCGAACCCCGTCGACGTTCTCGGGCGCGCGTGCGTTGCTGGCGAGGCGTGGTCGATGACACGGGCTGAGCACCGGACCGCCGAGGGCCCGAAAAAAGACGAGCCCACGCCCGCGAGGCGGAGCGGCTGGTGGGCAGGCTGCACGCATCCCGGGCCCCCATCGCGCCTGTGCGCGGAGGTGGGGCGCACGAAGCGCGCGCCCGAAAAAGAAGTGCATCTGCACGACAAGCCCCACTGCGAGGCGGCGGAGATTTGCCTACGAGCGCCGCCCGGCACCGTGCCCGGGGATTCGATCTTCGGGGACGTCCGCAGGCGGTGGATATGGATATAGTTGGCCCCCCAGGGCCAAGACACATTCATGTCCACCGCCTGCCGTCCCCGAAGGTCGATCCGCCAGGCGGTGGTTATTGATGACTCCCCGCCTCGGATCCCCGAGCACCACTGGGAGCGCAAAGTCCAGGCAAAACCAGCACACGCCCCGAGCGCTGCGCTACATACTCGAAAAATCGCGCGTTCGGCCGCACCGCCTGGCGCGCCCTCCTCGAGCCAGATGGCGCGGGAGCATCGCACCGCATCGTCGATGCGCCCGCGACGCCGGGCGACCTTAACGGGGGGGGACGACAAGGGCCCCCCCCCGTTTAGGTCCCCCCTCCCTTTGACCACCCGCCCGAACCTGGGTGCCACGAGCACTCGAGGCCTCCGCCCGCCGCCACCGCGCAGCGCGGCCCCGGCGCGCAGGCTGCCGGCGCAGCCGCCGCCGCCCGCGCTGCCGCTCGCAGCCCTCGGGCCCCGCACCGCCCTGGCCCCTCGAGCCGTCACGCGACGCACGCCGTGGCGGCGCCTGGCTCGGCAGCGCCCGCCCCAGCGGCAAGCCACGCGTCCACCGCAGCGAGGCCTCTCGTCCGCAACCCCTCCGGCGCGCAGCTGAAGCGGAAGGATGCCGCCGCGCAGCGTGCCAGAGACTCGTCGGCGAGACCGAGCCGCGAGCGCGCGACCTCGTACTCCCCGAGCAGCGAGCAGCCGAAGAGCAACGGGTCATCTGAATTGATTGTGCAAGGCACCCCGGCGTCCAGCAGCTTCGGGAGAGGATGGTCCTCTAGAGCCTCCACGACGCGCAGCAGCCAGTTGCTCGTCGGGCACACGTCCAGGCACACCTCCTTCGCCGAGAGGTGCGCAAGCAGCTCGGGGTCCTCTGCCGCCAGGACGCCGTGCGCCACCCGTTTGGCCCCGAGACGGTCCACGCAGCAGCGAACGCTGGCGGGGCCCTGTCCCGGCGCTGGCGCAATCTCACCGCCGTGCGGCAGGGAGGCCAGCGCCGCCCCGCTGCCGCCGGCGGCGCCGCCAGTGCCGCAGGCAACGTCGAACGCATCAGCGAAGGGCTCTGGCGGGTGGCCACCCTCCGCGGAGTGAAGCCCGAAGCCGACGAGGCCTGGCCGGCCCCGCACCCGCGCCTCGCCGCGGTCCACGAGGCCGCGCGCCGCCCGCGCCAGGCTCAGCGCCTCGCTCGGCGGCAGGTGCCTCTCCGCTGCGACGATGAAGCCCATGCCGACACCCGTGGCGTCCTCCGCGGCCTCGGCGGCGCGGAGCAGGAGCCTCAGCGTCGCCTCGAGGCCCCCGAACCGCTCGGCGTAGAGCACCAGGGACAACGCGGGCTCGATCCAAAGGGCGCCCGACGCCGCGGCATCCTCCGCCACCTCGCGCACCAGCCGGAACAGGTCGCCCTCCTCCCGCAGGCACTCGCACACGGCCATGTAACACGCGGCGAAGGGCCCGAAGTCTGGGAAGCGGCGGCCCGCCGTGTCGGCGGGCCGGGGCACGCCGTGCTTCGCGCACAGCTCCGTGAGCGTGCCAGGCCGCATGGCGCCCTCGAGGTGGAGGTGCAGCTCCGCCTTCGGCAGCGCGCGCAGGTCGCGGGCGCCGGTGCCCGCGCTGGTGCCCCGGGCTGCGGCGCCGGGCGAGAGGCTCGTCATGAGCGCACGAGGTCCAGCGGTGCAGGTGTGGGCGGGGGCGGCGCCCCAAGGGGATGGGGTTGGCGGCCGAGGCGTCCGAGGCGAAGTGGCAGGAACGGTCTGAGCCAAAACAGGCTACAGACTGCCTGGGCCAACAAAGACCCCGCTTGCCTCACCTTCGGCTGGGCGGTTGCTGGATGTGACCAGGGGGACTGCGGGCCCCAAAAACGGGAGCAAGGCGCTGTACCCGAAAGATACAGGAAAGAGGTGGAGGCACAATGAAGAGCAAAGCACATCCGGCAGATACCACTGATGATGGAGCGCTCCCTCAATAATTACTCGGGCGTCCTCCCTCTGGGTGGGTGCGCGCAGGCATCTCCCTTTCATCACGGTGACCGCCCGCTAGAATGGTGAGTGTTGGAGCGCTTGCGCTCCAATATCATATATGTTAGCCAGCGTGGGCCCCAAATAATGAGTTATTGCACTGCGGAGGTGACAGCGGGGTGCGAGCTATGTTGTGTAAGCTATGCTGGGGGTTGGCTACCTCGTGTGAGCTATGTTGTGGAAGCTATTCGATGCGACCTCCGTGGCGTGAGCTGCGCTGTGCGAGCGAGGCAGTGGAAGCTATGCGGTGTGAGCCATGTTGTGCAAGATGTGTGAACCACCCAGGACCCGCGGCGCCCACGAGCGCCCACGAGGCGCTGACGGACGGGCGCCAGGCGAAACCTCGGTGGACCCACCTAGGGTTAGGTCGGGCATGTCCTCCTACAGGCGGAGGTTGGAGGACAAATGACACATCAAAAATATTCAGTAGTCGAAAAGTAATTGAAGAATCGTCCCCAGACTGCTTTTGGACTATTTTCCTCCTGTAGCGGCGTAGAGGACATGCCCGCCTTAAACTTAGGGCACCCACGAGGCGCCCACGAGGCGGGCACCGGGCGAAACCTCGGCGGACCACCCTAGGGCGCTGAGGCGCCCCCGAGGAGCCCCACTGGCGGGCACCCAGCGCACCCTCCGCGGACCTATGCCCAAGGCACGGGGGCGCCCACGAGGCGCCCAGGGATGGGCACTGGGCGAAACCTCGGCGTGTCCATCCAAGGCACGGGGCGCCCGCGGGCGGGAATGTGGCGAAGCTTCGCGCCAGACCCGTCCAATGACCTAAGAGACCGAAGTAGTAGCCCCGAGTGCAAGCACGGTTTGGGGAAAAAAGGTGAGGAAGAGTCTGAAGCGCAAATTCGGCCAGAGCCCTGCCCTCCCATCATCGTAAACGAGCTGTGCACTCGAAAGATCTGAAAGGGCAATGCGAAGACCAGTCCAACGACGACGCTGTCACCGGGCGGCCTTGTGAAGGCGAAGATGACTTGCGTCGTTAATGCACGCACGCATTGTTGAAGAGCTGTGGCTTGGCATCCGAATGGGCACTCGCCTCGCCTACGTGATAGGCCACAAGGCGGCGCGCAACAATCGATAGTAAAGACGCTGAGGATTCATCGGGGACCTACTGACCTGGGTTAATGCAAACCCGGATCAATCGGGCTTTGCTAGATCCTGCAGGATCCTGCGCCCTAGCCCGGGTCAGTGCACCCCTGGCTCTGCAGTATCCTGCAAGGTCCCGCGCTCTGGCTGACCCCCGCTTGCATTGACCCCCGACTCCTGAGCCCCGATATCGCGTTTTCCAGCGTCGCCCAGCATGCCAGAGGGCCGAGGCCCTGGCGGCCTGAGAGCCTCTGTGGCGCACCGTGGGGGCTGGGAGGGGCGTGGGCATTCTCCTCCTCCCTCCTCCTCCTCCTCCTCCTCCTCCTCCTCCTCCTCCTCCTTCTCCTCCTCCTCCTCCGCCTCCTCCTCCTCCCCGCCTCCTCCTCCTCCTCCTCCCTCCTCCTCCTCCTCCTCCTCCTCCTCCTCCTCCTCCTCCTCCTCCTCCTCCTCCTCCTCCTCCTCCTCCTCCCTCCTCCTCCTCCTCCTCCTCCTCCTCCCCCGCCTCCCCCTCCTCCCCCCCCGCCTTCTTCCTCCTCCTCCTCCTCCTCCTCCTCCTCCTCCTCCTCCTCCTCCTTCTCCTCCTCCTCCTCCTCCTCCTCCTCCTCCTCCTCCCCCGATGGCGCCGCACCGCCCGCCTGGCCTCACCTGGCGGCATTGGCGCTGGCCCGAGCCATCGCCACTCTGGCCGCCCATGACTCGTACCTCAACAGGCCAGCCTCGTCCAGACGGCGGGCCGCGCGCTCGTAGCCCTCCACCAGCTCGCCCAGCTCGCAGCGCGGGAGCGTGCCCCAGACGTGGCTCTCCGCGAGGCTGGACCCCTTCGCGACCAGCGCAAGCTGCCGCGCGGTCTGCCAAGGGTCCTCGTCGGACAAGGAGGTGGGGCTCGCAACTGCGGCAGACTCCCAGTCGATGACCGCGTCCAAACACCAACGTCCGGCACCTGCGTCGGAGCAGAGCACGTTGCCGCCGTTCAGGTCCTGGTGCAGCAGCACCGGCGGGCACGCCGAGCGCTCCTCCACCAGAAGCGTGTCCCGGAAGCTCGCCAGAGCGGCGCGGAGTTCTGTGTCCCAACTGGGCACTAGCTGCAGCAGGTGCTCCACGTGCGAAGTGACGCTCTCGAAGCGAGGCAGGGGCTCGGTCTCGCTGGCCGCAAACAGACCCCCGCAGAGCTTCCTCTGCACTTCCGCGCGCACTCGATGCCACTGTTTCGCTGGCGCACGCACCTTGTCCTCGACGGTCCGCGTGTGAATGAACTCCTGCACCAGAAAATCGAGCGTGCCCAGGACGGTAGCGCACTGACCAGTCGCCAGCACCCTCGGCACACGGACCCCCGCTCGTGCGGCCAGTTCCGCGGCGCGCGACAGGCCGGCCGCGGACAGGGGCAGGGAGCCAAAGAGCGGCTTGTCGCCAAGCTGTGCGCCCAGCACCTGCACGACGACGCGGGGAAACTCCGCCGCCGCCTCCGCGAGCGGGGGGCTCAGTTCGGCGAAGAAGGTGGCGTGGAAGCTCGTCTTCAGCCTCCGGGAGCGGGCGACGCGCGCCCCCCGGGCCGACAGCAGGGCGTGCACCTCGGCCGGCAGGGCCCGCACGTGCTGGCGGAGAGCCTCGCCGATGTGCGCGTGGAGTGGCGCAGAGTCGACCATGGCCTCCGTCTCGGGGTCCAGCTCCCCGTCGGCACCACGGCGCCACGCCTTTTCGAGTCCTCTCCTGAGCAGATACGGTGGGGGCGTTGGATGCGGCATCCTCGATGAGGTCATGAGTCCCGCGGCGCGTTGATCGCGAGCCGTGGGGGAACCACGGGTGCAAGGCAGGCTCTGCCTTGGCGACGCGGACTCTGACACCGAGTGGACGCGTGACTCCGAGGTCCCCAGACCACAGGCTGCCGACCCCATCGTTCGTATGGACTTCGCGCGGTCGGTTGCTGTCTGTAAGCCCTGGGAGGAGGAGGAGGAGGAGGAGGAGGAGGAGGAGGAGCTCCCAGATGGTGTTCAACTTTGAACGTCGCCGCCGCGTCGACGTGGTACGGACCTGCTCGTGCTGACGGGGTGCCCGAGCAACACGCCGTGGGCTGGCCCCTCAGGAGAACGCTCCTCGATCGAATGCCGCCACCAGGCGCTCTGAAAGTGCACCCACAAGCTTGGATTGGGAAACCTTGTAATGGCAGGACTGGGCCGAGCGGTGATGATGGACTGGGCCGCTTCGCCTGCACGTGAGGCCCAGACGCGGTAACCAGAACTTGAAGGGGCTGCGCACGATCGACAACAGTCTACCGGACCACGCGCGCATCATGTCCTCCGATCGGGCAAGCGGTGCCACGTGCCAGTGCGGCTGAAATGCGCGCGGACATTCGATGATCCACGTCGCTGGCGGAGGCCACCAAGGGCTGCAATGGGGTCACGAAGAGCAGCGAGGGGGCCACGAAGGGCTGCAACGGGGCCACGAAGGGCAGCGATGGGGGCCACCAAGGGCTGCAACTGGGCCACCAAAGGCAGCGAAAGGGCCACGAAGGGCTGCAACGAGTCCACGAAGGGCAGCGAGGGGGCCACCAAGGGCTGCAATGGGGCCTCGAAGGGCAGCGAGGGGGCCACGAAGGGCTGCAATGGGGCCACGAAGGGCAGCGAGAAGGCAACGAGATGCTGCAACGGGGCCACAAAAGGCAGCGAGAGGGCCACGAAGGGCTGCAGCGGGGCCACGAAGAACAGCGAGGGGACCACGAAGGGCTGCAACGGGGCCGCGAAGGGCAGCGAGGGGGCCACGAAGGGCTGCAACGAGTCCACGAAGGGCAGCGAGGGGCCACGAAGGGCTGCAACGTTTCCACGAAGGGCAGCGAGATCCCGATTCCTAAGTAAGCTGTGAGGGAGTCCTAAGCGTGCGCGCGACTCCTGCGTGCCTGAATGTCGGGAGCGCGGCGCTTGAGTAACTTGCGGGGGTAATGACAACGCAAGAACGCGGCTCTTGAATAAATTGCAAAGAAGACTCCAGTGTGAGCGCGACTCCAGAGCGCCGAGAGAGCGATTCCTAAATAAAGCGTATGAAAGTCCCAAGCGAGAGCGCGATCCCGGAGCCAAATGCGAGGAAGTCTGAGACTGGAGCGGGGGTCCTAGCTAAATCGTGAAGAAGTCTCATGCGGGAGCCCTTGTTTCTGTAATCTGAGGGCCAACAACGCAAACAGGGTGGGTGCGAGCCCCGGGGGAAGCACTTCAATTGAAAAAAGACGATGATCACCGAAGGGGGGATGAACAATATGTGTTCTCCAGTACAGCAATCAGAACTCATCAACAACGACAACAACAGCATCAACAACAACACCAACAACAACAATCGGTTTAAGACTGTTCGCCCTTATATGCTCGAGTGTCCAATAACGCGTATTTCCCAAACCCTCGATACCCGCCCTCTTCGTCTTCGATCGAACCCCTTTTGGGGGGTATACCTTTCTTCCCTGCAGGCCGGGCCCCGGCAAGCGGCGGGGCGGCCGCGGACCGTCGGCCTGGCCAGCGGCAGCGCTGATCGGCGGGGCGGCCGCGGACCGTCGACCCGACCCCAAGAGGGACGGACAGGGGACCGACCACGACGACGACGACGACGTCGACGACGACGGCAACGACGGCGACGGCGACGACGACGACGAGCGAAAGCGAGAGCGAGAGAGAACGACAG